GCGCAGGGACAGAGCAAGGGGGCCGGGCAGAGCGCAGGGACAGAGCACAGAGACAGAGTGAGGGGACTGCGTCCCCGTGGCCAAGTGCCAAGCCTCTGTGCCCCTCATGAGCTGGGAGGGTGACGGCCTGGCAGTGCGGCAGGGCTGGATTCATTCGTGTTCGCAGAGCACTGAGCCCCTGGCGTGGGCAGGGAGGGGCACATGCGTGCGCTGGGTGAGGAGGGCTCTCGCCTCCCATCAGGAGCCCCCCTCTGGCCCCTCCAGCCCCCAGCTAACGGGTCACGGCGGCGCCCCTTTCCAGCGGGCGATTTTCATGCCAGACTCGTGGCTGCGCCGGAGACGGGCCTGGTCCCCGTGTGATGGGTTCTCCCGGTGCTGGCGCTCGCCGGCTGCGGCCTGGCTCCCGGGGGCTGGCGAGGAACGTCCGGGGGTGCTGATCTGTGCTCTCCGTGGGGCAGAGCTGGAGACACAGCGCGGCCGGTACAATGGTACTTGGCTGCTGGGTTGGGACCGTCCGAGTGAGACGTGGGAGCCTGTCGGGGGTCCCAGAGCCACAGGAGGTTTACCCAGCACTGCTGGGCGGCACCCATCTCCCTGCGCCTGGCCCTGCCCCTGGGGAGGTGGGGTAACTGGGCGTCGTGGCGGGCGCGCTGGGCGCTGATCGCTTTCCCTCTGCCCCGCAGACATCGTCCTGGTGCACTACCAGCCGGTGGGCTTCCTGTGCCTGTCCCACGGCGTGTGCCAGCCCCTCTTCGAGGAGCTGCTGCTCCTGCTCCAGCCCCTGACCCTGCTGCCCTTCAGCCTGGACCTGCTCTTCGAGCACCACCTGCTGCAGATGGGCAAGGAGCACCGGCAGCAGAAGCAGCTGCTGCGGGTCAAGCAGGACCTGCTGCTCTCCGTTCACTCCACCCTGCAGCTGATGCGCACGCGGGGCAGCCCCGAGGAGCCGGACGGCTGGAGCGCGGCCCCGGAGCAGGGCCCGGGGAGCGCCGGGGAAGAGGGGCTGTCTGCCGGCCGGGGCCAGGAGGGAGCGGCGTGGGAACGGGTCAAGGGGGTGGGCGCCTCCTGCGCGGCCGGCGCCAGGGAGGAGGAGCAGAGGAAGGCGAAGGACAGCGCCTGGGAGGGGAAGAAGGACAAGCAGGCCGGCTGGTGGTACCAGCTCATGCAGAGCTCTCAGGTTTACATCGAGGGCTCGGCCGAGGGCTCCAAGTTCATCCGCCCCGAGAAGAAGAAGCCGAAGGCGCCAGGAGCTGCGCCCCGGCCGGCCGAGGGCGGGAAGGACCCCCCTCCCCGCGAGGGCGTGGTGGAGGGGGCGGAGGCCTGCCCGGTCGCCGAGGAGAAGCCCAGAGCTGCGGCAGAGCCTGGGGAGAAGCCGGGCGAGGCCAACGAGCGGAGCTGGCCCTCCTGGATGGGGAGCCCCCCGGACTCGGTGCTGACAGAGCTGAAGCGCAGCAAGGACAAGGAAAACGGGGCTCCCCAGAGACAGGGGGTGGCCACGCCCCCCGCGGAGGAGAGCAGCCCTGGGGCCCCCGACAGCAGCCAGCCCATCAAGTGGGGACACCTGTTCGGGGCTAGGAAAGTGCAGAAGGAGGCCAGGCAGCCCAACAGGTAGGGACGTGAGCCCTGGGGAGCAGCGAACAGACGGGGTAGTGCTGGGCCCACTCACCTCCCCGAGCCTCGGGCACAGGCCGGGGCCGCCCCACAGATCACGGTTCACCTGAGCCCTTCACCCCCCGAGGGAGCAGGAGGAGCTGAGCCAGCGTGGTCTGGGGCAGAATGGCTCAGGCGAGGGGGCTGGCTGAGCTGGGACGTGCCCCAGGCATCTGCCTTCCCCAGAGGTGGCTGCATTTTGGGGGAGACGCGATCCCCCTGTGGGAGCAGGGCCCGCTGGGGTCTTTCAGGCTAGGAAGAGAACCTGTCCCCTCCCCGGCGGGGCCCAAACTGCCTGGCGGGCACAGCTTCTCCTGGCCCCAGGACCCCGGGACGTGTCCCCGTCTGACTCCGCTCCCTTCCTTTCAGGTTACCCTCCGGCTGGCTGACCCTGGACAGGTCCGTGTTCCAGCTCATGGCCCAGACGGTGGGGGCAGGAATGTGGAGAGAGGCGGCCCCAGAGCCCGAGCGGCCCAGTGAGCCCCCTGAACAGCAGCTGCCTGGGGGGCTGCCCCCCCAAATCCCCTGGTGAGCTGCGCTGGCCTGCGGGGGGCAGGAGCCTGGGGCGGGCGCGGAGCTCAGGCTGACGAGGGATTGGTTGGGCCCCTTCCGTGCAACGGGGCCCTGCAGCCCCTTCCTCTGGGGGGCGCCCCTCCCCTCCCTCCCCCAGCTCAGTCCAGTGCCCACTGGGCAGGACCCTCTCCCCGCTGGCACCAGCGGGCTCAGCGCGGCACTGCCTGATGCTGACGAGGGGTGAGTGGCTCCTCTGGGCAGAGCCGGGACAGCGCCGCTGGCTGGGATCCCCCGGGCACTGCTCTGCGCTCCCCACCTGGCCACTCTGAGCCAGGCCCTATCCGGAGAGCCAGGCCCGCCCCCGGGCAACCGGCCCAGCCGGCTGAGACGTCCCGCCCGCTGCGCGAGCACGGAGCTGGCAGCTGCCCACGCCCCGCAAGGTGAGCCGCAGGCCTCGCTGACCCCCAAACTCACCCGGGGGGCTGGGCTGCACTCAGTACGCTCTGGACTCGGTGAGAGGCACCCCCGAACCCCGCCATGGCAGCCCCTGCCCCACGGCCCAGAGATACACCCAGCCTCACCCCCCCGAACCCCACCCCAGTGCCCCCTGCCCCACGGCAGAGAGACACACACCCCGAACCCTGCCCCAGCGCCCTGCCCCACTGCCGAGAGACACACCCTGCCCCACCCCCCCAAACCCCGCCCCAGCACCCCCTGCCCCACGGCTGAGACACACACCCGGCCCCAAACCCCGCCCCAGCACTGCTCCGGGGCTGCCGGGCTGGGAATCATTGCAGTGGGGGTGGGGGGGCTGGCAGGGGAGGGGGGTTCTGGGTGCAGCGGGCGCCTGTGCTGTGACACGCCTCCCCCCGCTCTCCCCGCAGTGAAGTGAAAGCGCTTTGCCATCACATCGCCACCGAGGCGGGGCAGCTCAGCTTCCCCAAAGGGGCCGTCCTGCGCGTGCTGGCCAAGGTGGACGGCGACTGGCTGCGGTGCGGCCTGGGCTCGCAGAGCGGGCTGGTGCCCATCATGTACGTCACCCACCTGGCGGACGAGGACTATTGACGCGGCCGGGACGCCGCGCACAGGACCACAGGCTGCTCTGCGGGGCCGCCCGGCGGGGGGGACAGACGCAGCTTCTCGCTAGTCCGTACCGTGCTCGCCCTGCCCGACAGCCCTGGGGGCGCCTCGCCTGCCCCATGCACCTGCCACGGCTGCCGCGCCCCGGGGGACCTCACGCCAGGCGCCGCCGTGCATGCAGCCTCCCATCACCGCGCTCCATCTCCAGCACCGGATGCCACGGCCTCGGACGTAGCAGGACTCCAGGCGGCGTCGCTCTGCAGTGGGGACCGCCGAGCCAAGTACCCTGCTGGGCTGGGGGCTCCTGGACTGGGCAAGGGCTGGCCGCCGGAGACTACAGCCCCCAGCATGCACTGCTCCGGCTCGGGCCGAGCCAGCTGGCCCACTGCATGCTGACCGGGCCTCTGCTGCCGGCTGCCCCCTTGTGGCGTCAGGCTGCATTGCCGTGCTCGGCCTGGGCTGCTTGTGGCCCAATCAGCACACGGCTGCGGCCCATGTGACAGGCTCAGGGCCATACAGGGGGGCTGTATTGTGTGGCGGCGCCCACAGGACACCCATGAGCTGCCCACCATGGTCGCTCGGCTGCGAAGCCTGGCGTGCGTGCAGCCCCGGGCGCACACTGTGTGAATGCCGCATGTATTGTACCAAGCCCAGGAACCCGGCCAGCAGCCTGGCACGGCCACACCACGGGCCTCCTGCTGGCCGGGCACGGGATGAGTGCGTCTAGGCCAACAGCCGTTCAGTGTTAGAGGGGATGAGCCCTGTGCAGCCGCAGCGCTGGGGGGTGTTCGCCCCCCCCCCCCCCCGCTCCCCCGAAATCCGCTGCTCCAGCCATGGAGGCACTGCCTGGGGAGGGGCACAAGGCCATTCCCAGCCGGGAGGTGGGGGAGAGGGAGGGGGAAGTGCGCCCGCCAGTGGGGGAGGGGTGACATTCCCAGCAGGGAGGTCGGGGAGGGGGAAGTGCGCCCAGCAGTGGGGGGGGGGGGGCAGTGCCCCCAGCAGGGGTAGTGGGGGGCACTCCCAGCATGGCTAGGGCCTGGTTAAGGGTGCCAGGAGGGGCCGGGAAGGGGCAGGCTGGATGGTTCAGGCAGGGCCCTGCAGCCGTGCCTGGGGGCAGGGCCTGGGCCCCCAGCAGGAGGCGCCGCTGTCAGTTAACCCTTGTCTTGCCGGGCAGTATTAGTGCCAGGCTGTGCCAGTATTTGTTGCCAGGACGGCGCCGGTGTCTGCGCGGCGTGGTGCCCGGGCTGGCTGCCCCGGGGCCAGGCTCCCGCCTGCTTGTACATCGCTCGCTGCCGCTGGCCCCGTGTGACGGGCGGGGCCGCCTTTATTTATTTCTTTATTTATGAGGCATATTAATAAAAAAGGTGCTGACCCAGCTCCCCGCAGCGCCCGCCTCCTGACGTCGCCCCCCTGCCCCAGAGCACTGCTCCACCCAGCCCGGGGGTTTGTGGGCGGGGAGCAGAAACGACCCTTCCTGGCCCCTGCAGCCCGGAAGCAGCAACTCCAGAGCCCAGCCCCCCCCAGTGTAACTGCGACAGGGCTAGTGCCAGGGAACTGACCCAGCCCGTCTCTCCCCCAGGGGAGCATGGCCCAGCCATGCCCCCCCTGCTGCAGGCACCAGCCCGGCGGTGTGCGCCCACCCCCCACCCCCCCGCCCTTGGCCTCGTGCTCTGCGGCGACAGGCAGCGTTGGGCTGGCTGGTTTGTGCAGGCTCCTCCATAGGCTGCTTCCCAGGTCCGAGCCCCCGCGGCAGCCAAATGGCACAAGCCGGTGCACGCCCTGATGCCAGCCCCCTGCTACCACCGGCTCTGCCGCGCATGACAGGAGAGCCCGGCCCGGCCTGGCCTTTGCTGGGCCGGGGCAGCGGTAACACGCTGGGGGGCCATAGAGCCGGCGAGGGGGTTGGGCACTAGGCCCCAGCGGGGTTTCCTAGCCTTTGTGTGCTCAGCCCTGCAGCAGGGCGGGGCAGCGCTGCCCTTGGCTCAGGGGCCATGCCAGCCCTCGCGCAGCGCTGGCAGTGCCCCTGCCTTGCCACCAGCACATGGGCAGTGCAGCATCACACCCCAGGGCTGGTGGCGGTCCCTGTGGGGGAGGCTGCCCGCGTTGGGTGGGGCAGATTCAGCCAGGGCGCGAGGGCGGCTCCTGAGGCTCTGGGCCAGGGCTGCAGGGCAGGCGCGGTGGCACACACCATGGGGGGCCTGCACTGATTTAACCCCCCCCCCGCCCGGCATGGCCCCACCGCCCTGCCGACGGTTTGCAGCATGGCCGGGCGACGCTCCCCTCATTCACATGGGAGGGAAACAGAGTTTGTGGCTCCTTCTCTTTATTGCTCGTGCACATGGCAGGGCAGGCTCCAAACAGCGCCGGGAAGGAACCGGTCCAGCCCCGGGCACTAGTCGCCCATCTGCTTCTCCAGGGTGCTCAGCCCCAGGGCATTGTGGGTAAGCTGGCCGTAGGTGTGGCCAAACTGGAACTTGTAGCCTGCGGGCAATGAGAAGGCGCCAGTGAGAGGACGTGGTGCTGGGGAGCCCACCTGGGGCGGATGCTGCCCCGTCCGGGGGCTGCAGCCATGGAAGCACCAACGTGAGCCGGACAGCATGAAACACCTACCCGGCAGGGGAGCCACCGCCCATGGGCAGGGCTGGGCACCCCCTCACTTGGGGCCTTTAACCCTAGTCTGCCTAAAGCCCCAGCCCCAGCCTGGCACTACCCCCCACCCCCAATGGGCTGTACGAGCCACTGCCTGCAACAGCCGCTCTCTTGGACTCAGCAGCGCCGGAGAAGCCCTGGGGGAGGGGTGCAGGAACCGCCGGCTGGGAGGCTGCCCCCTTCCTTTAACCGCTTGCTCGTTCCAGGCAAAGCTCCAGGTCAGGGAGTGCCAGGGATGCTGTGTTAGGAGCCCACCATGGCTCTGGCAAGGCAAACAGTCAGCCCTGCAGAGCTACGGGCAGCGTTAACCAGCAAATGTCAACATCTGGACATTCAATCAGGTCCCCAAAGCCCCTTAACTCTGACCAGTATCACGGCTCTCTGTCCCCACCTGGTGGGGTCTAGGGGTTGCTGCATCCTAGCTGAAGGCTATGACCAAGGGCTGTATTAACCAGGGGAGAGGCGTCGCTGGTGGCTGTGAGCCGGTGCTGAGTGGGGTGCGGCTGCTGTTGTGACTGTCAGCGGAGCGGAGGGGTTGATCTGAGGCAACCCTCCCCTCCACCAGCAGTGGTATTTCCCACACACTGTGCTGCACGTGCCAGCCCGCGGGCACCCCCAAGGTTTGGCTTGTCTGGCAGTACAGGGAGATGGGGAGGGGCTGTGGGCCAGGCTGGAGCCGTGGAGGGTTTTGGGGGGGTCCAAATGAAGGGGGTTTATGGGATCTGTGAGTCCTTCCTGGTCTTTCCTTCCACGAGACTGGCAGGAGCCAGCCGGAGGCGAGTGCCCATGTTTCTGCAGGGAATGCGCGCAGTGCTGGCTGCTCAGTTCCTTCCCGGCCGGCCGCCCCGTCCTCCCCTGAGGCCGTGCCGCTCACCTGGGACGTAGCCTGCGTAGTGGGGCAGCAGCCCCATGTCCGTGGGGTACGACTTCAGCAGTGGAGGAAGGACCGGGCTGCCTTTCCCGGCCTCAGGCCTGCTCCCTCTGGTCTGGCCAAACTCCACCAGGGCGCGGTGGGTGGTCAACGGGTAGCCTGCCCCAATCAGGAAGCGGGCGCGGGGCACAAAGCCGGTGAAGCCTGCCCAGGTCACAGGAGGAGAAACTGAGCCCTGATGCCTGGAAACAAACCCAGCCCCACCACAGCCTCCTCACAGCAGACTGGCTCTTCCAGCCCCAGCAGCCATCAAAGCAGCTGGGGGACAGACCCAGGGCCCCTCCAGGGACAGCACGTTCCCACCAAATCAGCATCCCCAACTCGGGGCACCATGTCACCGCCCCCCAGAGCTCTCTGCTCAGACGCTGCGTGTGACAGGCGCTGCAGAGGCAGGTCCTTGGCCGGGGGGTGGTTGGTCCTTGCAGGGCTCTGGATTAAAGGATGAGGAATGGGGCTCCTCAGGGCTCAAGGACCCCCGCACCCCCTCCCTTCTGCTCCCCGAATCCCACCCCGCACGCCCTGCCCTGAATCCCAGCCCGCACCCCCAGCCCCGAATCCCAGCCCACACACCCAGCCCCGAATCCCAGCCCGCGCACGCAGCCCCAGCCCTGCTGGCTCACCCGAGATGAAGCACTTGTGGGGGTTGTTGTCCTCCATGGAGTAGGGGGAGCCCTGTGGTTGGAAGGCGAAGGGAGATACGTACGGGGCAGCTGCTGCCGGGACCGGAGTCCTGTACTTGGCGGTGAGGAGCTGGGGGTGCAGGATGGGGGTGATCAGACAGGGGCTCCCCATGGGGGGACGGGTCAGAGAGCGCTGCCCAAGCTGAGTGGGCCGGGCTCAGGCCACATGGCAATGCTGTTAGAGGAACCAGCCACCCCAGGCTGGAGCAGACACTGGTGTAAGAACAGGAGCAGCTACATAAGCCAAACCCATCGGGGCAGAGCCCACAAGCTAAGCAGGGCCGCCCAGACTTCCAAGGAAACCCCAGGTGCTGCAGGGAGCAGTGTGGGGGGCTCAGTAGGGGGCGCTCTCCCCTGGTCCTATTGCCCTGTCCGAGGCTGTGCATGGGGTAGGTGCAGGGGGGTCTATGGGTCTGTGCAGGGATGTGTGGGGGGTAGGTGCAGGGGGTGCGAGGGGTTGGTGCAGAGGGTCTGTGGGGTCCATGCAAAGGGATGCGTGGCGCTGTGGGGTGGGGCTGTGTGTGGGGTTGGTGCAGGGGGTCCGTGGGGTCCATGCAGGGGGGTGCGTGGCACTGTGGGGTGGGCCTGTCCGGGGCTGTCCGTGGGGTAGGTGCAGGGGGTGTGTGAGGAGTTGGTGCAGGGGGTCCGTGGGGTCCATGCAGAGGGGTGCGTGGCGC